GAAAACCATGAGAAGACCCATCAACTTTCTAATCGTTAACATGGCCATGTCCGATTTACTTTTTCACATTTTTGGCTTCCCTTACTGGATGCAAACGCTCTATATAGACTTCTGGCTGATCGGTGGTCCTCTTGGCCAGGCCTTGTGTAAGCTGACTTACTACTTACCATATGTCTCCCTTATTGTGTCTATTCAGAGCCTGGTTCTGATAGCAGTGGATCGATTTGGAGCTGTGGTATATCCCCTCCGTTCCCCACTCATCAGTTCAAAGTTGTGCCCGTTCTTCATTCTCGCCACTTGGATCGTCGCGATGGCTATCCAATCCCCAGAGCTCGTCGCCCTCAAACTTGTTGAATACCCAGGAGGTTTGGTGTGTTCGCGGCATTGGAATGAAGCCTTTGGAGAGTCCTGGTCCGTTGAGAATTATTACGTGTTAATTTTGGTTATATTTTTTATCATCCCTTTGATGTTGATAGCCATACTTTACATCATCATCTATTTAAAGGTCAAATCACAGAAGATTCCAGGCGAGGAGTTGGCCAACTTTGGACAACAACGCCTGCAAAGGAAGCGAAATGTGTTAAAGATGGCCTTTGCTATCGTGTTAGGGTTTGCAGTATGCTGGCTGCCTCTCATTATCTTCTGGTTTCTCTTCTTCTTTACGTCGGATATATGGTCTTGTGGCTCCCAATACTTTATTATTGTTGCCTTTTTCATGGCTCGCGCAAATTGTGCCATAAATCCTTGCATCTGTTTTATTTTTAGTAGAAATTATCGGGAAGGACTTAATAATCTCTTAAGATTACGGTGTTCCTTTAAGGTCGGCACACACGAGGGGACTAATCCCTGCAACTAGTCCCTGCAACTGAGTCCACTGAAGATTTTACACGAAGGGACTGGTCCCAGGGACTTATCCCACGAACAGTTCACACGAAGTGCAGTTTTGGGGAACAATTCGCAGAGACTTGGCCCAAAAATTTAAACTGGTTTGAATTCGTGGGACTAGACGCAGGGACCAAAGCTTGGTCACTGCGACTAGATTTTGAAGAAAAAATGGCCAGTTCACACGATGGGACTTTTTCCTGCGACTTGTTTCAGGGACTAGTCGTAGGGACTAATCCCCTCGTGTGAGAAGAAGGTGTCTCACGGTCCCTAAAGCGCCATATCAAATTAAAGCTTATAGAGCTGGCTATCAAACTATACCAAGAATTTTCTTTTGCCATATTCAATTGCATTAAACAGTTACAGAACATTTTCGAAGTAGGATTAAAAATGTATTGAGTACTCGTACAGTATAGATAGTGGTTCGAGACAAGAGAAAATTATAATGAGGACAACAAACAACATGAGTGAAAATCAGCCTAACATTTTCCTGAGTTGAGGCTGAAAATTAGCGGTCTTAAAATGTTTCAACTAATTTGAAACTTTGGGATTACATTGAATTTTGTTAATCCCATTGAGGGCCAAGTCTAAAAAGAATTCACGGAATGTTTTTTTTTTTTAATTCCCGCCCAATTTAATAATTGTAGGGCAATATTTGAAAAAGGCAAAATAGCACTCCACACCAGATGATATTCCAACCAATGTTTCTGAAAGTCAAATAACGTGATTTTTCAGAGATTTTCACTCGAGTTAATTAGATGTTATAAGATTCATTTAAGACCAAAATACCATTTAGTCAAGTCTTGTGGACATAGTTTGCAAGTTAGTTCTCAGATCATGACGTCTATTTCCAAAATTATCCCTTGATGATAACCTATTCGGTCTCATGTAAAGTGGGGTATGACGTCATAACGTTGCCATGGTAACTCAGATCTTGGTAAAACTTACCTCATTTGAGAGTTTCAACTTTCTATTGGATTGATAATGTTGGTGGTCTAGTCACTCAAAGTTAAACAGAATCGTTGAACACTGAGTTTACAATCATTTAGTTATTCTGAAAACTCCATTTTTGTAATTTTCTTATATTAATAAGATGTTATTTGTCGTCCTAAACCTTAAATAAAATAATAAATAAATAATATTTATTCGTCAATTCTGTTATTTATTTGATTCAATGTACGCTTGATAAACTTCAAAGAACGGTTTCTAATCGTTCTTTTGACAATTGCTTTGCTATCATTTGTAGTTACTTCGTAAACACTTTTGTTATTTCCCTAAATTTCGTGAGAAATGTTCAGTCATCCTATAAAGCGTGTAAATAATATTCGTTTCATTACTGCTATTTATTTGATTCAATGGACGCTAGATGAACTTCACGAAAGGTTCTTTTTCTTTCATTTGTGGTCATTTCCTAAACTATTTTGTAATTTTCTGGAAGTAATAATGCGTGAAATTGAGGTCAATAAAATACAGCCTGATTTCCTTTTCACAGTCGAGTTTCTAGCTAATCTTCGTTTTTTATAACTTTCCTCTCAGTTTCAGTAAACGAATTACATGTAAACGTCCTCTCCCTCTCCCTTTTTTATCGCCGCTGTTCTCCATGTTTGACTCGAGAGTATTTTTATACAACTTGCCCAAGTGCAACAGTTTTTATGTATTTTGCAACAAACTGTCGCATTCTGCAACCCAAGTCTGAACCTAATTTTGAAGTTAATTAGCCTTACAATGCATATGCAATGTTTTATATACTAGCAGTCTCCTTTTGTGAGAAAGCCTCCTGGTTTTGACCCCTGCAGAGCTTACTTTATATTTGTGTTCCGACTGTTTCTGAAGCAGTCTTGCTAGTCATAGTTTTTGTTTGATAACACTATGCTCTGTAGAACGAATCACGAGTCCCTGTGTCTTCTCTAGTTTGTACATTTTAGTTGAATAAGTCTTTCTATTATACGGCTAGCTCCGTGAACGGACAGGATGAACCAAATCCTACGTTGTGATTGGCTCCCTAAGCGGGCGAGATGGCGCTATCTTGCTCGCTCGGGATTACACGCTGTCCCGCAAGAAAAAATTCTCCCACCGGATAAACGGAAGCCATGCAACAAATCCTTTATTGACCAAGCTTGTTCGGTCAAGATGGCTGGGTATTGGCCTCGTTCTTTGTTTTGTTTGTTTGTTTGCGTGTTCATGGTTCTTGACTCCGTCTCGGTCCAAAAACACGAAAAAATAGAACTTGGCCATTATCCAGCCATCTTGACCTCACACTTGGGAAACTGCACCTTTGCAAATGTCACTCCGCTGAAATCTTCATGAAAAACTTTCTATTTGGGACGCCTTAGTATCCTAAAATATAACTCTCCAGATGACAAACAATGACAGATTAAAAAGCTCAAGGTTTTTATAAAAAAAACATGCAGCCATTCGATTCGGTTTTTATGACATAATCCCTTTTACTTTGACTTCAATCCTCCGTAGAAAAAAAGATGGCGCCTGGTACATTTACCCACAGTTCTTAGAGCACGACAACTTTAAAAACGTTTATAAAAACGTACAGAAAGGTTATAAAATCTTCAAACCCAGATTACTCAATGTCCTTTATACAGGGACAAATATTATAAACATTTGGCTTTCTTAGTGCCTTATAGGCTGTGTTAGGTTCGCAAGGCATTGTGGTAAAATGTACAGCCGCCATCTTTTTTCCTAAGGTGGATTTAGAGTGCTCAGTAGAAGGGTCACTCCACGCCTATTTACAGTATTTTACAGAGAACATCTTAGGGAATTTGCCGAACGGGCACGTAATAGGGGGTGGCGCTTAATTTAGCAAATTAAACATAGCTTCTCCTTTCGGGAGTTTTCTTATGTTATCGCCAATGCTTTCTATTATCTATTAACTGCACAGGTGCAAACAGTGACTGTAAAACTCTCTCGCGCTCTCTACCAAAAATGATAATCTAATCCACAAGAAAGTCGGTGAAAGAAATCATATGCTATGAATCCAATCATCTTTATTTCATTTTCACCGTAAAAAAAAAAAAAAAACAGAAACACTAAACAGAATAATAACTGGTTTTAACAAAAATGAGCAGAGTCCAACCAAGGCATAGCTTGTAATATGGACCTCACTAATAATAATACAAAGTCAATAAAGGCTTCAGCATACTTAAAACAAAAACAATTACATTCAATGTAATAAAGGGGAAGTGAAATCAATTACATTCATCAAAGATGATTGACAGAACATCCTGTTAACCTTGATAAAAAAAATTTGATTCACTAACATGCTTCAAGCTGAGCTGAAAAACAACCCAGCCAGCTGTCACTATTTCATCTGACACAGCAGTGACATTTAAAATTAAGAACAATATATACTTGAAATCAAAAGCAATCTGTGGTGCAAGCTGATTGGTCACTTACTTTTGTTGAACTACTCACGAAAATTGTTCCAAATGGAAGACGAAAGGCCTGTCGTCAAACATGACGGGAAAATTTCCTAAGCGTTCATATTTCTTTCGCGAATACAACATCAGGACAAGTAATGATCAGTAATGTTTCCGCCTTCGGTAGACCATAAATAGAGTGACGTTACTAAGTTAAAAAACCAGAAAAAATTCATTTCTGAGCGTAATAGCCTGCGAACGCAGACGTATTTCCGGCTGTCGCTTGTCTCCGCCGAAAATAACGTCTGCGAAGCCGAGCCAGGAAACGACTTCTGTGACGTAGGAATTTTAAGCCAATTACAGTTTAGCTCAAGTAGCCCCAGAACTACTGCGCGAGGTATTCGCTGCGAGGAGCACTCGAGTTTCATTCTATCATAGAATCTGATTGGCCAAGGAGAAACAAAAGTCATTACGTCACAGAAATCGTTTCCTGGCTCGGGTTTGCAGACGTTATTTTCGGCGAAGACAAACGACAGTCGGAAATAAGTCTGCGTTCGCAGGCTATGAGCGTAAGAGCGGAAAAAGAAATTGAACAACAATGTCGGAAATCGTGAATACAACCATGAATGGAACACAGCCATCGAGCTGCCCTAGCAATCCTACAGCAGAAAAAATAGGAAAACACCTTTGCTTACAGCCTGATTTTTCTTGTTTCGCTGGCTGGGAAGACCGTCATCGGAATAACTGTCTACAAGACGAAAACCATGAGAAAACCCATCAACTTTTTAATCGTAAACATGGACATGTCTGATATGCTGTTTGCTATTTTGTTGTTTCCTGTGCTGGTAAAACTGCTCTATATAGACTCCTGGCTGATTGGTGGTCCCCTTAGCCAAGCCTCATGTAAGCTGGTTGCCTTCTTAATAGATTTATCCGGTGCCGTGTCTATTTAGAGCCTGGTACTGATAGCAGTGGATCGATTTGGAGCTGTGCTATATCCCCTCCGTTCCCCACTCATCAGTTCAAAGCTGTGCCCGTTCTTCATTCTCGCCACTTGGATCGTCGCGATGGCTATCCAATCCCCAGAACTCGTCGCCTTCAAACTCGCTGAATACCCAGGAGGGTCGGTGTGCTCGCGGCATTGGAATGAAGCCTTTGGTGCGTCCTCGTCCTTTAAGAGTTACTCTGCGTCAATTATTGTACTCTTATATCTTGCCCCCTTTGTTTTGATAGCCATACTTTATATCATCATCTATATAAAGCTCAAATCACAGAAGATTGACTGAGAGCACTCGGTCAACGCTGGACAACAACGCCAGCAAAGGGAGCGGAATGCGTTGAAGCTGTCTATTACTATTGTGTTAGGGCTTGCAGTATGCATGCTGCGCGCGCATGCCCTTCGCTCTCTACTTGTTACTTGTCTCATTTGCATCGGACATATGGTCTTGTGGCTTCCTATATTTTATCACTGTTACCCGTTTTATGACTCGCGCAAATTGCGCCATAAATCCTTGCATCTGTTTTATTTTCAGTAGAAATTATCGTGAAGGACTTAAAACTCTCTTTAGATAAACGATTTTTTGAGCAGTGCTAGCCTGCGAGCAGGCTCACTTGTTGTTTAGGTAGCGTATCGCGAGCAAGGGCGGTGGAGCCCCCATTCTTCTCGCCGGCTTCGCCGGCTCGCGGTTGCGGCTCCGCCGCCCTTGCCCGGCCCGCGATACGCTACCCAAAAATAACAAGTGAGCCTGCTCGCAGGCTAGAGCAGTGCAGGAACTGATGTTACTCAGTTCTGTACAATAGAGAGGGTCAGTCGACCTGAAACAAAAAATGTTTATTTAAAATTGCATTGTATTTCGTACCCTATGTACGCTATAGCTTAAAGACGTTTAGCAGAACGGTTCTAAACCTTTCTTTGTCGACAATCAATTTCCAGTGTAATTCTTTTCAGTTCCTTTTATCTGTTTTTATATAAGCTGCATAGGTGCAGCAAGCTTTTTATATTTTCAACTCTGCTATTTACAGTTCCATGATAAAACGTGCGGGTGACCAAGCCGTTTTTAGGCAGTTAAGCGCTTAAGTCTGATGAATTAAGAATGTTTTAAACCTATTGTACTATTGCTATGGCAACCTATATTGCCAAGAAGATGACTGCCACATCTTGTTCACCAGTGATTAGGCATTTCACTTCATGAAGAGTGGTAATATTGATTCTTCATAGTAGAACTGCTTCAAAGTGCAAGAAACGTTTGCCCGCCACGAGGTCAGCAGGCTTTTATTTCTCAAAACGGAAATTTTATTTGCAGTAAGTTATTTCGCGGGATTGTTTGCACAGGCAGACGGATAGCACTTTTTCAAAATTTCCACTTGTAAATTAACGGTGACTATCACACTGCATGACAATCACATGAAGTACGGAGGTACCCGTCTCAGATGGAAACTTCGAATTCCGCAGATGACAAACGGCTTTCAGACACTGCGAGCTACTACACGTCACTGATTACAACATGTAACTGATTGATAGAAGCCTCCTGTTCAGGCTTACCATTCAGTCAACAAACCATTTAGATCCTAACATGGAATTGTATTCTCTAACTTTGGAAAAAAAAAACTAAAAAAAAAACTAATGAAGTAAAACCTCCGAATAGAAAGGGTAATTTGTTCTTTAGAGCCCTGCTAACAAAACAAAAACAATTACCAGCAGAACTGCTTCAGAAACAGTTGGCACACAAATATATAATGAGCTCAGCGGAGGGGAAAACCCAAAGCTTTTCTCGAATGTACAAATTAGTCTCCCAGGAAAGGAACTGCTAGTATATAAACGATTGCATATGCCTTGTAATTGTCTTGAGAATTACATTCAGACTTGGGTTGTTTAATATGGCAGATTGTTGTGAACAAAAAAGTGTTGAAAAAAGAGAACAGGGACGATTAAAAAAGAGAAAAGCAACTTACATAGGATGGCTCTGGAAAGGAAATCGGACTTGACTATTCACCACTGTATTTACCTTTTCACACCCTTTATTGCAAATTACAAAAGAGATTAAGGAATAACTACAAATGATGGCCCGAAGGAATTGTCAAAAGAATGGTGAGAAACCCTACTGTGTTAATTAATTGTCAAGCCTACATGGAATCAAATAAATATCGGTATTGAAATATAGAATATACACGGTTTACGGGACGGCCGAACATTTCTGATGAATTTAAGAAAGAAAGCTCGAAACTGAGTTTACAGAATAGCTACAAAGTAAATTTAAACTCCTTGCCCAAAGAAAGGTTCAGCACCGCTCTGCCAGGAGTCGATATAGAGCAGTTGTACCAGCACAGGAATCAAGAAAATCGCAAACAGCAGATCGGACATGGCCATGTTTACGATTAAAAAGGTGATGGGTTTTCTCGTGGTTTTCGTCTTGTAGACAATTATTCCGATGACGGTGTTCCCAGCCAGCGAAACAAGAAAAATCAGGCTGTAAGCGACGGTGTGCCCGAGTTTTTCTGCTGTAGGATTGCTGGGGCAGCTCGATGGCTGTGTTCCATTCGTGGTTGTATTCAGGTTTTCAGACATAGTCGTTAAGTTTCTTTTTCTGCTCTTGTGCTCACAAATTAAATAAGTCTTCTTCTGGTTTGTTAACTTAAGTAACGTCACTCTGTTTATATTCTACTGAAGGCGGGATAATTGTTTGGATTGATCTCGTCATTCGGAAGAAAGTAATTAACGAATAGGAAACGTCTGACAAAGTTAAGCGGAAGTTTTTTTTCCACTCTTCTGACCATCTACAGTGTATTTAAGGGACCTATCAGCTTGTAACACAAATTGCTTTTCTTTTCATATCTTAACATCAACCAAACTGTCAGCAGACAGTGTTCTGAAATGTCACTGCTGCGCCAGATAAAGTAGCTACTACTGGGTTGTTTTTCAGTTCGGCGTGAAGCATGATAAACAGTCATTCTTCTTCCTGTTATTCATTTGTCTGAATCAAATTTTCCATTAAGACGAGGCAGGGAGAACATAGAATGTTTAACGTTAAAATTCTAACGTCATTCAAGGTCAATAAAATTATCCTGATGTCCTAGCAGCGACTGCCTTTTTTCAGAGTTTTAATTTAAAATTTTAATGTTCAATATAATGACAGCGTAATCCACCTTTCAACGGTTGCCGCGCAAATGTGCTATGAGTTTGCTTTGCAGAGTCATGACGTTTTCTCGAGAATCCAAATCAGTTTTTTAGCAAACTAGAGACTCGTAGTATATAAACCATTTGTACATATCATATGATTTTTTAAATTGAACGCCTTGAAGATTTTATTTTAGAAACTGAATTTTATTTATGAAACATGGGAGTGCTTGTTTAAATAATGTTTGCACCTGGACAGCGTGTGAGTAATAGGAAGCAATGGCGATAAACATCGGGAGTGGTTGTACAATTTGTTCTTTTCCTATCCTTTTAAACCCTATCGTTTTTAGACTATTTACTCCCTATCACTGCTATCATTTTCTTATTTATAAATTTCCTCTCAATCTTCTGACCCATGTCTCTCTGTAGGATCACGCACTAAAACAGTCTAATAATTAATATGTGAGTTAATCCGTGTGTTCGAGTCTGCCAGAAGCAAACTAGAAGGATGAGGTTTAGTAAAGACGTCTGTTTATTCAAATACAAACATGTTAAGGCACCATTGGAGTCAAGTGAAGACGATAATATAAACGTGTGTTTGAATGTTTTATTGTTTTGTTGAATAACTAGTCCAAGAATTATAGGATAAAATTCCGGTGACGAAGGGAAGCGGGGTTTGGGGGGTACTTGGGGGCAATCGAATGGCCAGAATTTTCTTACCCCAAAAATCCCGAAAATGTGCAATCCCACTTTAATAAGTCTACTGAAAAGGTAACCCCAATATAGTCAAAGCAGTTGTGAAAACCTGGACGCCATCCAGTGGCACTGCATCCCCATTAGACTATCACTAGGAAGTATTCATCCCCCCCCCCCCCATCCAGTCCCGTCCGATAAATCAAGGATTGGAAAAGGGCAAATTAAACAATTTCCCCTACCGAGAATTTTCTTTTGTTTATCGCCATTGCTTTCGTTATTATTCATTAGCTGTACAGGTTTAAACATCATTTAAGCAATCATTCTCATATCTATAACAAAATTCAGTATCTAAAATATAATCCTCAAGACAGCATATGCTATGTACAACATGGTTTATACTCTAGGAGTCTTTTTGATGAACGACTGAATTGGAATCTCGAGAAACCTTCATGACTATGGAAACTAAACTCATTACTCATTTGCGCGGCAGCCGTTGACAGGCAGTTTACGCTGTCACTGTATTAGACATGATTTAGACATTTTCTTAATTTAAAATGTGACAGGTAACATTACGGCATCAAAACTGATGAATTCTTAACTGAGCTCGGATTGTAGCGTTGAACATTCTGTGTTCTCACTGACTCGTCTTGTGATGCACGACCAACAAATAACAAGAACAAGAAAAGTTAACGACTCTTTGCCATGTTTCAAGCCGAGCTATAAATCAACCCAGCCACCTGTCGCTACTTCAATTCATCTGGCGCAGCAGTGACATTTTCGAACACTGTCTGCTGACAGTTTACGTCCTGATGTTAAGATATGAAATGAAAAACAATTTCTGGCGCTAGCTGATAGGCCAGGTATTTTTTGTTAGGCTGCATACAAATTAGGAAACCCTAATTATTGTTGCAGGTAGACGGTGGAAAGCCAAAACACAGATCTGCCTATCATCATTTAACTTGTTGTGAAAATTTTATTTTACGCTAATTACTTTCACGCTAAAGAGGACATCAAAACAGCAATTACACTGCCTTAAAGGTGGAACATAAATAGAGTGACGTTACCGAGTGAAGACCACCATAAAAAGATGTGAGCATAAGAGTGAAAAAAGAAACTGAACGACCATGTCGGAAAACTTGAACACAACCATGAATGGAACACAGCCATCGAGCTGCCCCAGCAATCCTACAGCAGAAACAATCGGAAAAACCGTCGCTTACTGCCTGATTTTTCTTGTCTCGCTGGCTGGGAACACCGTCATCGGAATAATTGTCTACAAGAAGAAAACCATGAGAAAACCCATCAACTTCTTAATCGTAAACATGGCCATGTCCGATATGACATATCCGATTTTCTTAATCCCTCATCAGATACAAAAGCTCTACATAGACTCCTGGCTGATCGGTGGTCCTCTTGGCCAGGCCTTGTGTAAGCTTGTTTACTCGTTATCAGATGTATCCTACATTGTGTCTATTCAGAGCCTGGTTCTGATAGCAGTGGATCGATTTGGAGCTGTGGTATATCCCCTCCGTTACCCACTCATCAGTTCAAAGCTGTGCCCATTCTTAATTCTCGCCACTTGGATCGTCGCGTTCGCTTCCCAGTCCCCATATCCCGTCGCCATGCAGCTTTTGGAATCTCCAGAAGGGTTGTCGTGTGCACTGCATTGGAAAGAAGCCTTTGGAGAGTCCTCATTCCAGGAGAATTACTTCGTGGCCATTACCGCTGTATTCGTTTTCATCCCGTTGGTGTTGATAGCCACACTTTACATTAGCATCTATATAAAGCTCAAATCCCAAAAGATTCCAGGCGAGCAATCGGCCAACGCTGGACAACAACGCCAGCAAAGGGAACGAAATGTGTTAAAGTTGGCTCTTGCTATTGTGTTAGGGTTTGCAGTATCGCTGGTGCCGGCCGCTATCGGCCTGCTACTACTCTTCTTTGGACCGGACATCGTGATAAGCTCTTGTGGCTTCCGATACTTTATGATCGTTACCTTTTTTATGGGTAACGCAAATTGTGCCATAAATCCTTGCATCTGTTTCATTTTCGGTAGAAATTATCGTGAAGGACTTAAGACTCTCCTTGGATCGACGAATGATATTTGAGCAGCGCAGAAACTGATGATATTTAATTTCTGTGAAGTTGAAAGGGTCAGTCGACCGGAAGCGTTTAAAAATGTTAATTTAAAATTGTTCAACATTTCAGTTCGGCGCATTCTAAAGAACCTTAGAAGAATGGTTTAAAACACTTTCTTTATTTCTTTAGACATTGAGCTTACAGTTACTTTGTAGTCCCGTTTTTCATAATTCATCTCAATTTCAGTGAAACAAATGAAACGCCCTCGTCGCTCTTTTACTCGTATTGGCACCGTTCTCTATGTATGGCTAGTACTGTACAATATTTATAAGCTGCATAGGAGTAGCAAACAACCCAGGTCTGCACCTAATTCTCAAGACAGGGTAGTACATCTTTCCAAAGTTGTAGAATACTAATTTTTTTACGATATGTAGATCTCCATAATTATCATAATCCTATCATAGTTACATGCTTGTGTCAGCGGACTTTCTAACGCATATAACATGACGTACCTACCATATGAGGTAGAACGTCCGCTGACATAATTCAATTCAGTTAGTCTTTACCGTTAGCGGAGTCAATTAAGCTTCGAAACATTATTATTCAATGGCACGATCTTAGTGGATTGTTGGAATGGGAATAACACTTGCATGTTGTTATCACGTGTAGTGTCCTGAATTTTTGGCCAACTGAGAAAATTTCCATCTAAGACACGTACTTCTGTACTATAGATTATCAATGTAATATGTTCATCAGCTGTTCATTTATAAGCGCAGTATCTGAATGGAAAGTCTGAACAGGAAGCTTCTATCAATCACTTGCATGTTGTAGTCACTGACGTGCACTGTCCGAAAGCTTCCACCAGCTGAGGAAGTTTCTATTCCTTGGTTAACCATGCTCTAGAAATTTATCGGATGGCCTGAGCTCGCACTTTCCTTCGTCTCCGATAAATCAGGTCAGGCTGGCCTTTGGTATGTCCCTTCAACATGGCCTTACGACTGAGAAGAATTTGTTCAACAGATGAGAACTCACCTTATTGAGAGAGGATATGATCTTCGGCTTCGTTAAAGACGAAATAGAGAAAGTACGTCAGATTCCTCCCAGTAGAGCACTCGAAACATCCATCAAAAAAGAGTCCCACAGAATTCCATTTGCAGTAACATTTAATCCAGCCCTACCGAATATACGTCAAGTCATTTCCAGCAGCTTTAACATTGTTCGTTCTTCACAGCGATGCCTAGCAGCATTTTCTTCTCTTCCTCGTATATCATACCGCCGTTGCAAAAACCTACGTGACTTACTGATCAGGGCCAAACACCGCAGACAACCCCAGCCCCCTCCCCCTCCCCCCCGGTTCCGGGAGCTTTCCATTGTCACAGAGATAGGTGAAAAACGTGTCCTTTCATTACTGAGGGAACCACGTCTTACACTTTTTTCTCTACCAACGAACAAAGACGTATACCGTGACATCACATCACCTGCTCTTCCTCTAATCTCGTTTGTATGATATAGCGCAACAAATGCAACGTTCAATACATAGGCGAGACTGAACGCCATCTCAGCGCAGTCTCAGCGACAGATCTGGTGAGCACAGACGGGCAATCGAAAAAGCCATCGTACAAAGACACCTTGATCAAACCACCGCCGTTTCAGATCACCTTACCCTTCCTGCCCATTCTATGGACNTCGGCTGTTTTGGTCATAAATAGGGTATCGATTTTAGCTGATTTTAGCCATTTTGGTCATAAATAGGGTATGGTTTTTGCACTCTAACCTTGATATGGGCATGTTTTTGAAAAGAAGC